GTGGAGGACGTTGCTTCACTGGCCCAAGTTGGCACCATCATTGCACTCTTCCCAGGCGAGGCAGATCAGTCGCCGGCTTCTGGACGGCCACTCACTGTGGCTGTTGGCCGCTCATGCTGGCTGCTGGACACACACGGTAGCCCATTTCAATCCACTGCCACAGGGGCTGCAGCCTACGCCGTCGCAGGTGACTCATGGCAGCCCAGCTCCAGGTTGAGCTGTTGTTCAGCATCCCAGCTGTAGAGGGCAGTGTCACTGGCCCTCACACGTGGGATCCGAACTGGGGCCTTTTGGCGTCTCAAGCCAGCTCTTAACTATGGCGCCACTCGGCCGGCCCCTGGAGTATTATTTTTGATTTGTTATCGTCAAGAATAGTGTACGAAGTAGTGCATTTTGCAAGTGAGATACACTTAGGTCTTTGTATGGTGGAATCAAAATAATAAAGTGGCAAAAGATGGGAGAATTGCTGCTTTTTTGTTTCACCATCATTTACTGTGACTTTGGGCTGAAGGTAAATGGTAAGGGAAGCGTGTTTGATTAGTGATTTCAGTCAAGTAGTCATCTGCCATATGTTCAGTGTGTTTGGTGCAGAACAGCCATGAAAATTGAACTTTACTGCAGAAGCCAGTTAATGCCTGATGTCAAGGAAACAGCTTGGGATTAGGAGCAGGATGAGAGAAAAAAGTAATCACGGCTGCTGGATGGTAACAGGATTCTTTTTCCTCTGCACAAAGCTGCTGTCAGTGCCCTATAAATGCTGCAGGTGACAGAAACTGTTCTTCCAGGAGATGCTGCACATCCAGGCACTGCCTCTGGGGGGCTCACTTGCCTTCTGTGCTGTAATATGAGAGGATCACACCTGGGCTGGGCCTTTGAGGCACCTGGGGTGATTTTAAAAATACAGATTTCCAGTATTCATCACAGGGCTACTGAATCAGAATTCTTATGGAAACAGCTGTACAGGTGATCCTAAACTAGGCGGCTGGTCATTGGTCCCAAGGTGGTCATCGAGGATTGATATATTGCTCAAGGATCAGAGGTCAACTAAGAAGAGGCTCCAATTTCAATCTTTTATGTAGTAGCTAGAGATGCTGGAAAGGAATTGGAATTCTCTTGACATCCGTTCCCTTATTTATAAGTGGGGCAAATGAACCTACTGAAGGTGCTGCTTTGAGGTATCATTGTGGGTTTTTTTTTTGTTTTTTGGTTTTTTTTAAAGATTTTTATTGGGGAATTGGGGGATGGGGCCCTGAGGTATCATTGTAATCTGTGTTCTCATTACCCAGCTCATTGCCTGGCTCCTATGTGGCAGCTGTTAACAATCACCCTCATATTCGTGAATTAAATTCAGAAAGATTTTAGGCTGTGTGTTGTAGAATAAACACAAAAACAGGATGATAACATCATACTGAATCAGGCACAATGTATTATCAAATAGTGACTTCTTTTGCTAATATCTGTATCTCCTTTCCCAGCTCTCAAAAGTCTATGGCCCTGTGTTCACCGTGTATTTTGGCATGAAGCCCACTGTGGTGCTGCATGGATATGAAGCAGTGAAGGAAGCCCTGATCGATCTGGCAGAGGACTTTTCTGGAAGAGGCAGCTTACCACTGTCTGAAAAAGTTAATAAGGGCTATGGTAGGTATGCATGTGTGCACGTTCACATTGGTAATGGGCATGGGGAGGATGGAAAATGGGAATTTGAGGATCTCCTCCCCAAAGCTTGGCCCATCCACGTGACTGCCAGGTGTCAGCTTCCTCCTCCTCGCCTAGGACCTCCCTCCCGGTTTCTGTTTTCTCTTTCTGTAGGGATCCTTTTCAGCAATGGAAAGACATGGAAAGAGATGAGGCGCTTCTCTCTCATGACCCTACGGAATTTCGGGATGGGGAAGAGGAGCATTGAGGACCGCGTTCAGGAGGAAGCCCGCTGTCTTGTGGAGGAGTTGAGAAAAACCAATGGTGGGTGATTCTATATTCTGCTTCTCTGTAACTCTGAGCTCAACAGACTGTTCTCTTTCCTGATGACATCCTTGGCAACATTTCAGGGGGCCCAAATCTATCCTATGGGTAGTAGCTACCAGCCCTCATGTGGAGGAGGGAGGGTTTGAAGTCGAGAGGCAAGGGAGGTTTAGCGTATCTATGCTAGTTGTGTGGTGCACCCATGATTGTGCACACAGTGTGGGAATAAAATCATTTTATTCATTTCAAAAGTCATTTAATCCAGTTCAGTTCCACCTTTGTTTTCAAATCAGAAATCATGAAGAATCATTTTGAATCATTTTCTGAAAGAGGGAGCAATGTTTTTCTTAAAGCATAAATATAGATTATTTATTCCCGAGCATTTCACCAGGTGATATTTGTCAAGTGGACATGGTGGGAATGCCCTCATCAGATTCGTATGGAGCATGTAATAAGTGACAGGTGCTTTCACATAATTGGCCTATGTTTATATGTCAGCCTCACAGACATATTTGAGGCTGACTTCCAAATCCCATGCATACAGTTCTGGCCAGTAATGATACTTTTCTATGGTTTTAATGCTTAGGAATCCCTTAGTGCAGCCCTCATCAAATGTGACTTCCATGTAAACAACTGTTTTGTTTTATTTATTTTTCCATTAGAGTTGACATACAATATTATATTAGTTTCAGGTGTACAACATAGTGATTAGACGTTTATATAACTTATGAAGTGATCACCCCAATAAATGTAGTACCCATCTGACACCACATATAGTTGTTACACTATTATTGACTATATTCCTTATGCTGTACTTTACATCCCCGTAACTGTTTTGTAACTGTGGAGCACCCCTATAGCCCAGAGCCTCCGCTCCCTGCACCAAATTTTTCCAACTATCCAGTCATATATTTAGTAAGCACACCTACCCTGCCTTGCTCGTTTCTTCCCATGGAAACTCCAGTAGAGGCTGTGGCCCATGCTTTCCCCTCGTTCCTTCTGCTTCTGGACCAGCCTTAGTATTTCCCCATGTGGCGCTGCAAGGCGTGTCCCCTTCTCTTGGGGATTGTGAGTGACAGACTGTCTTTTCAATGGCTGTTGTATCCTGATCTGTTGGTCTCACCATCTGAATAAAAATAAAATCCCAAGTGCATTTTAAATTGTATTTGGGTTAGAACTTTTATGGTAATTATTTACCCCTTTCTGCCAGCTCTCCTGACCTATGAAGAGCTTGTCCCCATGAATCTGACTCTCAGTCTGGATTCCAAATTGCCCTGCTTTTCAATTCTCTCTCAAATGGAATAAAAGGAAAGATTAAAAATCCTATTTTAGATGTGAATCACACAGGCAAAGAAATCTCAAGGAAGATTTTCTGAAAGGTTAGTGTCCTCACATGTTTCAGCTGAAAAGGAACCAGGCATAGGAGCAGCTAGCTAAACAGGCTTCCTATTATTTAATTCCTTATTGTTCCTTTCACAATACTTCTTAATTACAATACTTCTTAATTAAAGTCACACTAATTACATCTATGATATGCATTTGGGGGCTTTTTGCATATGAAGTTTATTGATCATTTAATATTAGCAGTTTTGTTTAAATATTGGCCACTAAAAGAGAAATTTCTCCTCTGCTTTAATTTGACTATAAAATGATGGAATTGACCTAAATGATGGTCCAATAAAAAATTTATAACATACAATATTCTGTTGATGGCTAGGTGTATCAATAGCCCAGAATTCCACAAGTGAGCAGCTATGTCCACATGAATGAATGTGGGGCCTGACCGGTTGAGATGGACATTGTTTCCTAGACCAGGAAATGGGTTTTTTTTCCTACATTGCAATAAAGAAATAAAAGGACTCCACTTATCAGTTTAACCTAATTTGTTTGCCTTATGTGTGATATAAGTTTCAAATGGAGAGTTCTTATTTTACTTTTATTGTAGGCCAATAAATCTATCTTCTTCTAATTTGTACCATTTGTGTTAGTTTTTCTTCACATACAACATGGATGGCTTTTGCTTTGTTACCTTTTTCCATCAGATACCTGAATTTGGCTATACTCTTTCTCTCTTTAATCTTTCCCTTTGTTTATTCTATATGCGGTTCCTTCAACTATTTATATAAAACGTTCCCAGGTTTCTAAGCATTTTCTAACTTCCTACATCAGTGTTTAATTTTCGCAAGCTCACCAGAGAGATATGATTCTGTATTGATAACCTGAATTATTAGGTGTTTTAAAAAGTGGCCTCTTTAAACTTTTTCCTTTGGTCTTCAAAATAACGGACACCTTCAGTCAGAATCAAATAAACACAGCAGTGATGTAAATGGATTATTTGGAAAACCATTATTCAACAAACTAGAATGGAATGGTCAGTTTATACTGAATGGAAAAGTGATGTTTTGATTTGAAGCATCCTGAAATTTTTGCTGATAAGGAAATTTCTGCTTTAGAGATTCTAAAATTGCCGTTACTTGTTATGAAGAACAAAGAATTTTGTATGTATATTTTAATGGTGTTTTAAAATTGTTTCTGATTCTTTAGCTTCACCTTGTGATCCCACTTTTATCCTTGGCTGCGCTCCCTGCAATGTGATCTGCTCCATTATTTTCCAGAATCGTTTTAATTATACAGATCAGGATTTTCTTAACTTGCTGGAGAAATTCAACGAAAACCTCAGGCTTTTCAGCTCCCCGTGGATCCAGGTGAGGTCAAGTTCCTCCCTTCCTGAGAAATCGTTTATGCTCTTTTCTCTGACAAGTCCAAAATTCTGTATGGACCAAGCTGTGAAGTGAATATTGACAAACTGTACGTTTGGATATTATAACGTGGCAACTTTGGAAATCAGATTTTTTATTATTATTTTTTTTTTGCTTGCCATAGTTTTTTGTTTCTTTTCTTTTTGGCCTTCTACAGGCTACAGCTGTTTGTTTGTTTAGTGACTTTTCTACACTATTTTTGCAAAGTCTTTTCTTTGTCGTGTGTGGCCTCCAAAATCTGTTCCTTGAGCTTCTGTTCATCTAGTGCAGGGGTCGGCAAAATGTGGCTCGTGAGCCACATGCAGCTCTGGGTACACACATGTGGCTCTAAAGTAAAATTGAAAATGAAAATAAAACTATAATAGTTTCACTTATAAAATTTTTAAAGGATATTCACATAATGGTGATTTCATTTGTTTTATGGCTCTTGAATAATTTTTAAATTGTTGTGAGGGACAGGATTGGCTCTTCCGTTTCAAAAGTTTGCTGACCCCTGATCTAGTGTTTTGACAGAGATTTCCTTGAATGTGAAGAAGAGCCAAAGAGAAGATGGAAAGGGAAGGGAAGGAAACCAGCTCTTCCAGATTGGCTCCGTGCCGGGGAACTCCTTTAATATTTACAGCCCATTTTCAACTCTGCCTTAGTCTTCACTTGTTGCTTGCACTGCTGAGCCTAGAGATTAGCCAGAGGTGAAAGTTTAGGGTCTTCACAGGTCTTTTCTTAGCCCTTGTCCTGCCCTGGGCACGTACCGTATTTGCCAGCGTATAAGACGATTTTTTGGCCCTGAAAAATATGCCTCCAAGTGGGGGGTCGTCTTATACACCAGGTACACTTCAGATAGACTGCCCATAGTGCTTGCCCGGTGCCATAGTGGCCTCCCGATGCCCGCCCACTTCATTCCACATACCGTTCAGGCATCAGCAGTGCTGCTGGGTGTATGCTCGGCTGTTATGTGATTTTGCTGTTATGCGATTTTACCACACTCGCAAAATCGCACACAGCCGACCATACACCCAGTATGATAGCGCAAAATCGCGAATCGCGATTTATGTATATGTTTGATTACATACAGCCTTGTGACAGTTTTCCTGCATGTCATAAGCATTTGAATATAAATATAAATGTTGAAATCAAATCTGATATTGTTTTACCTTTTATTTGGTGTGTGGAAGGTGTGCGGAAGAGGGGGTAGTCTTATACGGCGAGTATATAACAAACTCTGTATTTTGAGTGGAAATGTTAGGGGGTCGTCTTATACGCCCAGTCGTCTTATACGCCGGCAAATATGGTACATAGCTTTGTAAATTTCTTAGTATACATGGGTGCTTTTGAAAGCCCTAATTTCCCAAAGATACCCTCTCTCCAGCTTTTCTTCCCAGGATATTGGTGCTCTATTTTATGCCTTAACTGTAATCCTTTTCCTCGGGTGGCTGTGGGATGTTCGTTCACCTTACATGGATTTTGAGACATCCCTGCTGCATTTCTATCCTGAATTCTAAGTTAGATGAAACAAAGGCAAGTGCCTGTATCAGTCCTTCAGGTTGCCCCAGACAGGACAGAACAGAAACACAACTCTTTGCGAGTGAGGTCTGCTCTGCTTCCTCTGGAACTAGGAACCAGGGACCCACATAAGAAGCTGACTTTGTTAAGACCACTGCCAAGCCAAGGGCGGAGGTGGGGGTGGGGGTGCGAATGCCACAAAGCTTTCCCACTATTTTTAAGTTGTCTTTTTCTTGGTTCAGTTGCCTTTCATTTGATTGCTGGAAGCATTTGTTCTCTAGAGTTCTGACAAGTTGATTCTGACAGGTTTTGCTTGATTTTTTTGCATTTTTATGGCGACTCAGGCCTTAAGAGCTGAGGCCATTTTTTGCTGCTGCACCATTTTTGCTACTGTTGCTCTGTGAAGTGAATGTTTGAACACCATAGTCCTGCTCAGAACTTGGTGCCATGGAGTGAACATCTGGAAAAGATGGCCGAACCCTTTATTTTACAGATGAGAAAAGAAATGCCCGAATATACAGCTGGAATTCAAGCACGCTGGCTCTCTAGCCAGTGGTTTTTTTCCACTAAACCCCAAAGCCCAGTTTCCATTACCTACTTTGGCAACTGCCCAGAAGCATGGCAGTAGCTCTCAATGAACTCCCAGACCCTTGCTGAAAGGCTTCCACTCCCTGCAGGGCTAGTCCTCCAATCACACTCAGTGACCTCTTCATCACATGACTTGGCAAAATATCTGAATTTAGGAAGGGAGAGAATCTTTACTTCATGGAGGGAAAATGTTTGGGACCACACATGCTGCCAGGGGATACTGACTCGGTTGGGGTGTTTGATGCTCTGGTGGGGTCTTAGCTGACAAGGTAATTGAAACTGGGATGACAAAATGGTTGGATTTATGTGTGTGAACCATAAACATCACAATTTTGCCCTGTGCTGAGCTGATACATGTTATACTCTGCCTAAATAAAATCACGTGATCTTAGAGGTCACTTACTTACTCTGGTGCATAGATACTTTATCCATAAAATGCTGAGTTGGGTTTTATGGCAGTTTTGTACCCCTCCCAGTTAGAAAATAGTGATCCTATTTCCGAGGCTGTTTGATAATAGTAGCAACAGCATGGAGAGCTTTGTGCTCTGTATCAGGTTGCCCAAACTCCCTTACCTTCTGTCCTCATCTGTTAAATATAAATCACAGTAGTAGTAATTCATGCCATTCTATATTTCAAGGTTGTAGAGAAGTATTAATGAAAAATGCTTAAAGACATAAAGATGCTTGAATGTAATACTATAAGGCTGATGTATTAGGTATAGGAAAATATTGTCATCTTTTATCATCTGGTCAGTTTTCTCCCTTAAATATCTCTACCAAAATAGAGAATTACTTTCCATGTAGAATATAAAATGCTCCTCCTGAAGGTAGAGACCACTTTTTTTTTTTAATATATATTGGGGAATTGGGAGGATGGGAACAGTGCTGGGGAATTGGGGGAAGGGGAACAGACAAGTTGCTGTCCTTTTGTTCTTCAGTCTAGTTGTGGAGGACGTTGCTTCACTGGCCCAAGTTGGCACCATCATTGCGCTCTTCCCGGGTGAGGCAGATCAGTCGCCGGCTTCTGGACGGCCGCTCACTGCGGCTGCTGGCCGCTCACGCTGGCTGCCGGCTACACACGGTAGCCCATGGCAACCCACTGCAGCAGGGGCTGCAGCCTACGCCGTCGCCAGCGACTCACGGCAGCCCAGCTCCAGGTTGAGCTGTTGTTCAGCATCTTAGCTGTAGAGGGCAGTGTCACTGCCCCTCATATGTGGGATCCGAACCGGGGCCATCTGGCGTCCCAAGCCAGCTCTTAACCATCGCGCCACTTGGCCGGCCCTAGAGACCACTTTTTATTCACCTCAGTTTTTAACTAGGGCTTATGGTAATGTATGTCTTCAATACATGTTTTTAATTTAATAACTATTTTTTTAATCTTTAAGGTCTGCAATAATTTTCCTGCTGTCATTGATTATCTCCCAGGGAGTCATAACACAATAGTTAAAAATTTTGCTGATATAAAAACTTATGTTTTGGAGAAAGTAAAGGAACACCAAGCATCCCTGGACATTAACAACCCTCGGGACTTCATTGATTGTTTCTTGATCAAAATGGAGCAGGTAAAATATTAATAACAGATCAATTATGTGTTTGCCTGCATGTTTTGGCTTATTGATTACTTCTGTACTGATTGGAAATGTTTAAGTGGCCAGGCAAGAAATCCTTGATGAATACTTTAGGTACTGATTGTATGCATATCTGGATTGAGCATCATGAAAGATTTAAAATTAAATCACTAAATAACTAGAATACGTGCACCCTGTTTATTAGGTACTAATAGGCTACCTGAGGAGAAATAGAATGCACAGCTCAGTTGAAATGGAAATACAAACTAGTTAAAAAACGTGAGATCTTGAGCCATAAAAAGAAGGTGGGCGTGATGATTTCACACAGCATATGGGAGAGTGAGGACAGGTGGGCTTCCTGCGTGTCTTGAGGATTGATATAGACCTTCAAATATTTGCAATAAGGAATAGGAAAGGGGATTTCAGATTGGTAGAATGGTTTAATGAGAGGTTCTGAGGTGTGTGGTGGCAAAGAAATTAGATGGATGGAAGAGAGAAGCCTTAACTGACTGTACAGTCAACAAATATGAATTTGAACAGATACAGAGTTGGAGGTTGGTGTCCGTCAAGTAACTGTAAACCCAAGTGAATGTCAGCATGAGAAGTTTTGATTTGATCAGGTATATGTATGAACCAGAACAAGAGTAAGATGCAAATAATTACTGGGGAAATTTTTCCTGGCATTTCTGTAAAATGATCTGTATGATGAGAATAAATCTCAAGGACCTGCTGTGAGCTTTTTTCATTTCTTTAGACTTTGGCTTAATGAAAGTCTGGATAATGTAAATGCAGAGGACTCTGAAATAAAATCAAGTTGTCCATCTAATCAGATTCTTAGAAACCTATAGAGATTGGTTTTAGTTAGAGGAGAGGACGAGCACCAAATTGTAGGGACTATATGGGAAATTTCAATAAGACCAGATATCCAACTTGAGAAGTTTCACCAGATAGTGAATTCGAATAGCCATAGGGTCAAGTTGGAAAATGTGTGACAAGAGTAATATTGGTGTCATAAGGATACTTGTGTGTAAGTGCAAAGTCCTCCTTGAACGGCGGAAAGGCAGAATCCAGAACACACTGTAAAGAGCTAATTCTAGAGAAGGAAATTCCTTCCTCTGAGGCCACCATTATTTTATTCAACCACTTTGTAGCACTCGGTAGAAATGAGAAATCAGTTAGTAAGCTAAAATGGCAAGGAGTCAAAGGTGCAGGTGAAGGTGACTTTCAAAGAATTGTCCATGGATTTGAATTGGGCTGTTCAAATCATGTGTTCTAGATGGAACAAAGTGAGAAGATGGGGTGGTTTGAGTAAACTGGAGGAGGGAAGAAGCAAATTACTTCTACTCTCTGCTTTCTCTGCTGCTAAGGCAATGACTTTTATCTCTCCAGGGTCCAATTGATTTGAGAATCTGATTAACAGTAGGGACACCTTCCCAGAAGAATATACCTGTATAAGTTCTTGGTATTCTATACATATTTTGAGGGATTTCCTTGATTTTAGGAAGCCCCTCCACTAACCCTCGGCTAAGAAGGGCTCTAAAATCTCTGGTATTTCAATGAACAGTGTCTAGTTCCTCAACACTATATTTAAAAACTGCATTGTTCCTCTGCCCTTCTCTACAGTATTTAGAGTCTAGCTTTTTATTATTGTTTTGGTAACATCTTTATTGAGTATAATTCTCATACCATAGGCTTTACACATTTTAAGTACAATTCAGTAGTTTAGTATTTTCACCTAGTTGTGCAACCACCATCAAAAACAATTTAAGAACATTTTCATCTCCCTGAAAAGAATCCCCATATGCTTTCGTAGTCACCCCATTTGCCCCCAAACCCTCCCATTTGTAGACCTCACTGATCTACTTTGTGTCTCTATAGATTTGCTATTCTGGACATTTCACATTAATAGAATTATGCAATATGTGGTCTTTTTTGTCTGCCTTCTTCCACTTAACATACTATGTTCAAGATTCATTGATGTTGCAGTATATATAAGTACTTCATTCCTTTATTATGGTTGAGTGATATTCCAGTGTGGATACATCACATTTTATATATCCATTCATTGGTTGATGGACGTTTTGGTAGTTTCTGGAGTTGTTGTTTTTTTTTGTTATTATGAATAATGCTTCTATGGATATTTGTGTACAGGTTTTTGTGTATATATATGTTTTAATTTCTCTTGGATATTTACCTGGTGGTAGAATTGCTGGGTCATATGACTTTATCTTTAACCTTTGGAGGAAGTATGACAGATCAAAGACCTAAATGTAAGAGCTAAAAATATAAAACTCTTAGAAGAAAACCTACTTATAAAATTGGCTGTACCATTTTATATTCTTACCAGCAATGTATGAAGGTTACAATTTCTCCACATCCTTGCTGCTGCTTCTTATTATCTGTCATTTTGACTCTAGCCATCCTAGGAGGTGTAAAGTGGTCTTTTATTGTGGTTTTAATTTGCATTTCCCTGATAGCTAATGATGTTTAGCATCTTTCCTGTGCTTGTTGGCCATTTGTATGTCTCCTTAGAAAAATGTCTTCCAATTCTTTGCCCATTTTTTAATTTGGCTATTATTATTTTTAAATTATTGAGATGGAAGTGTTTTTATATATTATAGATATTAATCCACTATCAGATATATGATTTGCAAATATTTTCTATTTTGTGGTTTGCTTTTTCACTTTTTTAAAAAAAATGTATTGGGGTGACATTGGTTAGTAAAATTATATAGGTTTCAAGTGTACATTTCTATAATACACCATCTATATATTACATTGTGTGTTCACCACCCAGAGTCAGTTCTTCCATCACCATTCGCCATGTATTTGACCCTATTTTACTTTCTTTCTTTTTCTATTTAAAAAGGTTTTTTTTTAGTTTCAGTGGTACAACACAGTGTAATAGTTAGACATTTACACCCCTCACAAAGTGATACCCCCCCTATCTGCTGCTCCTCTGCTATCAAATATAGTTGTTACAATTCCATCAACTATATTCCTTATGGTGTACTCCACCTCCCATTTTACTTTCTTTCTTTTTTTTTTTGCTTGTTGGTTTGTTTTTGTTTTTTAGCTGAGCCATCCTGCCACCTGTTGGTAGCTCCGCGGCAACTCAGCTCAGGCCGGGCATCGAACTGCTGTTGCTCAGAGCTCACACTCTTGAGCGAGCTCTTAACCAACTGAGCCTCCCGGGCGGCCCTCCATTTTACTTTCTTGATAGTGTCTTTCGAAATACAAATGTTTTAAATTTTGTGCCATCCAATTTATCTATTTTTTTTCTTTGATTGCTTGTGCTATTGGTGGCATATCTAAGAAACTATTATCTAATTTAAGGTCATGAAGATTTACCCCAAGTTTTCTCCTAAGATTTTTATAGTTTTACTTCTTACATTTAGGTCTGTGATCTATTTGAAATCAATTTTTCGTTATATTGTAAGGTATGGGTCCAACTTCATTCTTTTGTATAAGCAGTTCTCCCAGCACCGTTTGTTAAAGAGACTATTTTTTCCACATGAATGGTCTTGTCAACTTTGTTGAAAATCAATTGACTGTAAATGTGATGGTTTACTTTTGGACTTATGATTCTATTCTATTGATCTATATGTCTTGCTTTATGCCAGCACCACACAATCTTGACTATGATAGCTGTGTTTTAAGTTTTTGTGTGTATGTGTGTTTTTTAAGATTTTTATTGGGGAATTGGGGGGATGGGAACAGCAGTGGGGATTTGGGGGAAGGAGAACAGACAAGTAGCTGTCGTTTTGTTTTTCAGTCTAGTTGTGGAGGACGTTGCTTCACTTACCCAAGTTGGCACCATCAGTGTGCTCTTCCCGGGCGAGGCAGATCAGTCGCCGGCTTCTGGACGGCCGCTCACTGTGGCTGCTGGCCGCTCACGCTG